TTATTTTTTCTCAGAAAATTAAAATTTTAACTTTTTTTGGGAATTTGAACCTTTCAATATTTTGCCTAAGATATTTTAATATTTTTTTCAAAATTTTAGTTGGTCCTATGTTTTTTTTTATGTTTTTTATTTTATTTTCAGGAAAAAAACAGTATTACAATGTTTTCCATTTTCTTCTAGGGATTTATTAGTTGCTGCTTTATTTATAAATTTTTATTAGTCATTGTATTTTATGTTCTGTTAATTTATAAGTTTTTATTAGTTTTGATTTTTCGTATTTTCTCCCAAAAAATTAAAATAAAGTCAAAAAATTGTTTACAAAAAATTTGTTTATGTTTGCATCAATTTTAATTTGTCGAAAAGGTTTTATAAAGGTCCCAGGAGTATATATTTGTTTTGTGATTAGAAGATTTCATGTTGAAAGTACAATTGTATTTACAAAGGTAATTTTAAGCCCCAAAGCTTCTTTTATAATCACCATGTTATATCATTTTTCTTTACGGTTCCATTAATCTTAATTTTTTAAAATTATGATGAAGTGAGGCTAGCTGGTTTAGATAATATGCCTATTTGCGTCTAAAATTTTTTGTTTGATTGTAAGTGGAGGCAATTTATATCCTACACCACGGCGCGCGTTGCACTGTGCGTCCAGATGCAAAACGACGTCGTTTTAATTTATTTATTTTTTTTTTGAAATTTCTCGCCCCAGTGAATGACAGTAATTTTTTCTTTAAAAAAAATCTGTTGTTCAAAAATGTACATAATGTTATACTAGAATACACATAATTGTATACATGAATGTACATAATTATATTTCAAATATACATACTCTTTTTAAAAGATAATACACATAATCTAACATAATACATAATAAACATAAACTTTTAACATAATACACATCAACTCTTAACATAATACACACAAATTTTCTGATTCGGATGTACATAATTGTATAAAAAGAATGTACATAATTGTATAAAAAATGTAAATAACTGTATGAACAAATACACATAACTTTGTGAACAAATACACATAATTGTGTGAATAAATACACATAATCACAGCAATTTCCTACCGTGCCTCCCAAAACGACGTCGTTTTGGGAGGCCCGCGGCGCACAGTGCTACGCGCGCGGTGTAGGGTATAACGATTGGTAAGTGGATGTATCACTTGGGCATACATTCCTTGGATGGCAACATGTCCCAACAAATAATTGGAAACTCTGTTTTGCAGCCTAAGACTTTCATTGAGCAAGTGTTACTTTGGTCAACTTTTAGTTGCTTAATTGTGCTTTGAATCTGTTTAATCAAAGATGTATATATTACAGAGAATTTCAACCTCAAGGTGAATTTTTCTTTTAAGTTTTACTCACTGGCTATTGCATTTCTATGATACTATATCTCAAATTTTGATTTGCTTCCCGTAGGATTGTTGTCTACAAATGCCCGTTAAAGGATGATCAATTTCAAGAATACTAATATGCATATCTTGGGAATGAAAGGTTTTGGCCCTAGTAAATATATTTTTCATTCACCTTTTATGTTGATATGTTGATTCTATTATATATACTATTTTTATGAACTTTTAAACTTTTAAAAACTCACTTGGATTTGAATTTTTCTACTGATCATACTTTGGTTTTGATGATTTCAGGTCTTAATGACATTGAGAAACATGTTACTCTTGGTATGTTGTCTAAACTCAAAAAAAAGGGTTTCTAATAGTTGCCATTGAGAAACATACAGGTTGCTTGGTATGCTGTTGAAACCCCTAAAAAGGGGTTTCTAACAGTTTGCAATGCATGTATTCATAGTAAGCTTTGTCTCTACCAGTCCCTCCTTTACCCAAAACAAATGAGAAACACAAATAAACATTTATACAAATCTCACCCCATAATATTAAAAATGAAGTACATATAGTAAAGCTTATACAATTAATTCAATTCTTCATGAGATAGAGCAGGGTTTAAAATGATACGGAATAGAAAGAAAAGTATCACCTTTATTTCTTGAACAACTTCATGGGAATGAGCAGCTACAATGTAAATGTGGGGTTTCACCATGTATGAAATATGAACTATTTATAGGTAGTTTCCCACCAAAAGTTAGATTCAAAATTATGTAATCATTATTTTTAGATTGTTTTCTTCTGCTATAAAAACCAATGTATCTGTTGTACTTCTCAAATGGAGAACAGCTGTAATATAATGGAGTAATTAAATATTTTTTGTCAGAGTACAAAGCAATATATTTTAAAGATTATTTTTAGATTGGTTGCTTCTGCTATACGTTAAGTCAGAAACCAATCTATCTGTTGTACCTCTCAATTGGAAAACAGCTGTAATACAATGGAGTAATCAAATAAAACGATAAATTTAAAAGAAAAAAAAAAAACAGAATTGTTAATTTGGGCGGAAATTTTTCACCAATTCTATTTGAATTGGCTTTATTATAGTTAGGATGAGTGTTCTGTTGATGGTTGTGGCTAGTGGCTACTATGTTGTTTCTGTTTGCCCCTTTACTTTGATACAATTATATATATCCACTAAAATATAAATATGATTTTTTTTTATATAGCTCATAGTTTTTATCGTTAGGCACAGTGGCTATACGATAAAGTAGAAAAAGAAGACAATAAATACAGAGAGAATCATCGATCTTTTATTAGTCATCATTCAGTATAATATATACAAGATATACAGAGTTCTAGTATAACTAGAGCACTACAAAGGATGAAGATGTATTATCATAGTATAATACCTATAATAATGTCCACATATTTATTTATAACACTCCCCCTTGGACATTACTATATCATACTCGTGTCTCTTTAAAAACCTTACTAAAAAATTCAGTGGGAAAAACCTAGTTGAGGAAAATAACACATGATATGTATGCATTCATGTGTTGCACTAACTACCTCGTTAAAAAAATCTTTAATTAAGAAAACAACATCAAAACTCAATCAAAGGAAATTAAAAAGAGTATAACTATCGGTTTTCAGAACCCAATCTCCAGGATTGATTCAAGTCCAATCTTCAGGATTGATTTAAGTAAATGTCACTCCCCCGGAAGATAACAATCTTCAAATCCTACACATAAAGACACCTTTCCAAAAATAAGTGTAGCAAGAGACTTTGTGAACAAATCTGCTGAATTGTCACTAGAGTAAATATTTTGTACAATAATCTTGCGACTCTTCTGGAGCTCATGTGAGTTGAATTTGACACTACGTATACTTTGTCAAATATTCATAAGCGTGCCCATTTATCATTTGTGCAACACAACCTTTATTGTCCCCATTTAGAACATTGGGGGTGATTCATTGCATAACCAGTTTGAGACTTGGCATCATGAGGATCAAATAGAATTGCCAGTATCCAAGTAGCCCAACCAGTTTTGCAGATTTGTGTATTTATCTCGTTTCTTTAACAAGTTTCTTCTTCTCATTTTTTTTTTGACAAGGTTTTCATGGAGTGTGAATGATAAAAATGGTCATGGCATATGTAAAACTCATCCTGAGCGATGAAGATGACAATGAAAAAGTGGCTGAATTATAATATGCAGTTCAGCTCGATTGGTAGGTTATCCTTTGAAAAATCAGTCAAATTTCTCACTAAGCTAAGATCAGATGTGTATATTCAGACGAAAATATTGTCAATGGATAGAAGTATGAAGACGAATATATACTCAGGTGGTGTGCAAGACTTTTCTATTAGAGTTAGTCTTGTTTACGTTTGGTCAGATCATTAATGACCTTAAAGAAGCTTTGAGGACCCAACTTCTAATGTGTGAAACAATCTGCGAATAAATTAATGCTATGGGAAGTTGTTTCTGTGTCAGACAGTAAAGAATGACTTACCATTCCATCGAACTTTGTTATAAACGCTTCTATTTATGATTAATGAATTAGCTTTAAAAAAAAAAAACATTAACTAGTATAAAATTACACCCCTATTAAAAACAATTTTTTTAAAAAAAAAATTTCTATTGTATCATACAAACGACAATATTATATTCCCTATTAGAAAGTTAACTAACAATTCGGCAAGGATTGGGCAATCATGTTTGTAGTCTCTATGTGGTGGCAAGTGGCTCATGCAGTTTAAGAATGGGACATTGAGGGCCTTTGTGAAGATGATTGTCCCTACCTAAACAGAATATACGGACCTTTGCTCTTGATGTGAATGGAAGTATTAAGCGTAGCTCGAGTAGTCCAAGTTGTCTTTGAGATAGAAAGATAGGTAATTGAGAGATCCCAATAAGAACTTTGTTTAAGTTACCCCTCTCCCATTGATAAAAAATAAAACAAAATAATAAAAACCCCTTTTATGTTACAAAATAGCTATATGAATTAATTTGATTGATTGTACATACTCATACTCCAACCAAGAGATCAACTTCGCACAGGATTATAGAATTTTGTAATCCAAGATTTAGGAATTCTTAGAAAGTAGATATTGTTTACGAAAACAGCATCGCAAAAACATTGATCAAATCTCATGTTAGGATTTAGAGGACCTTAATTTTTAAAAGAAGTAAGGTTAATGAATGACCTTTAAGGAAACAGAAAATTTTACCGACATTTACTGAAATACTCAATTAAGAACAATATAATTAATTAAGCGAGACTGAACAATCATCATATCGTTCAATTTCTCTAATTTTCTAGCATACAATGAATCATAAACAACATCTACAAAATAATTTACGAAGAGTCACAGTTTGGGATTGGTGGATTCGAGCAGTGTTCTAATTTGATCTTCAACTTTCTTTCGTATGGAATCATCTGGGAGACGGGAAACCACCTCGGCTGCAAAGGAAAAAACCAGAGCTTTTCTTGCAGCTTTTATGTCGATACCCCGTGCCTGTAAGTAAAACAGCTGGTCTTCTTCCAAGTCGCTGATTGCAGCTCCATGGGAGCACTTAACATCATCAGCAATAATTTGCAGGTTAGGCTTCACGTTCACAGTTGCTCGGGGCTCCAAGAGGAGGCTCCGTGTAAGTTGCCCTGCGTCCGTTTGCTGTGCGTTTCTGCATAATCAAATTAGTGTTTCTTTAATGTAAGAATCTTAGTAGTACCCAAAAGTCACTATTCACGCAAGGAAAGGAATACCAAATACAAAACTTAACACTACACAATCAATTCCCATCACATGACTATGAAGTGGAAAAAGTTCAAACATGATGACATTAGAAGTTCTTTAGCTAATCAAAAGTTGTGTATGTGGTACTCTTAAAATTTATCCTTGGCAAAGTACAACTTGATGGTTTTCCTTTATTTTTGGCTTCTTCTTTTTTTAACCACAGGAATACTACTCTAGTACAGTGTAAAAACTATTCCAATTCTTAAAATTTATTCTAAATAGAATTAGTTCACTAAAACCTAAAATAAAATACAACTATAAAAATTAATAAATCAAAATTTCATAGGAGTCACCCTTTTAAACCCACCAGACGGGACTTCTTACTTCGTACTGTTCGTAGTACTCACCTCTAACCCACAACAGACTGAGTATTCATTATAGGTACCGGAATGCAAATTATTATTTTATATTTAGAAATAATAATAATAATAATAATAATAATAATAATAATAAATGTTGTGGTAAAAATAAAATATGTAAAATATCAATGTTAATATAACTTAACATTAAACAATATTAACATAAATATCAATGTAATTTAAAAAGGTTTAAAGTTGAGTATTGTAGTATGATGATCAGGGCTTTGTTTTTCATGAGTTGTCCAAGGCTAATTCCTAACAGTAACTTCTATTTAAAAATAATTAAAAAGGTGTATGCGTTCAAGGTGACGATGATACAGTAACGGGTATATCTGAAAAGGAATGACAGCACTTGGGTACATGGTGATGACTGGACTAAAAGTACCATATTTGGTAATAAAGATTTGAAAGTAACATACGAGGGTAAAAAACTGAGGGAAGCATAATACCTGTTCACCTGAACATTCCCATCAAAAACAGCCTGCCCTGATGAATGAGCCACAATGCACTTGTGTAGTTGCTGAGAATAACCCCGTGGATGGTCCAACACTAATTTACTGTGTAGATCTTGTGTTTGATCAGTAACAGACAAATGAAAAGTAGATAATTCAGTGACGGTGTCGGGGCCTACTTGCTGTATATGAATATTATGCCTGCTCAATTTTCCACCAGTGCTGACCTCTATGAGCTTGTAGATACTACTAGATTCCTGCAAATAAAACTTCAGTTAATTTGTGTGAAAGTCAAACAATACACAAATAGAGGAAAGAGTGTTGAATGTAAGGAGTATCATTTAATCTTGACATAGCTGAAATTTCATAGATCAAATTGTAAGTGGCAAATAAAACAAAACACATAATTATTACTGAAAAATGAACAAAAAGAAAAGTTGAAGCAAGGGTCTATTTACTTTCATATTTCCTTAACATTTCACAAAATTTTATAAAGTTGAAGCAAGGGTTGTTGACTTCTTGTTTCTTTCCTTGTGTATGAGTTTTGTGAAGAAAAGACATCTGAAGTGCCGTACAGACCCACTGCCTTTGCTCCCTCAAATACAATACCAGTAAAAAAATACCAAGCAAAACATGAATCCACCCCAGTAGATAACTCCCCTACAAGGAGAATCTGTTTCATAATTCAACTTAAAGCTATTTTGCACCAAAAGAAAGATAGTATTTTCAACTTAATAGGTTTCCACATAACTCCCCTCCATGAAACAATAAAAAACCATGGCAATTATACAAACCGTTTAACTTCAGAACTTCCAGTAATTAAGAGAATAACGAAGATATTGTCATCCAACTGCAGCCCAAAAAAGCGTAACATTTTTACAATAGTCTAACAGAAACAAGCACAAAACATGATCATCATGAACTGGCTCTACAAAGCTTACCTGTTGAACCCAAGTCCACTTAATATGTGCAGCATTCAAGGATTGGTTTTGAATGTAAGAATGAGTAACTTTTCCCCCTTCACCAATCACCACTTCCACAACTGAATTAGTCCAATAACACTTCTCACCATCTCCACCTACATATTCCTCAACAATACCTACCTCCCCTCCCTTCTCCACCATCACCAACACTCTTGGGTTTGAAATTGGCAAAGTTTTTGATTCTCTATCACTCCCTTCCACTGCAAAGTGCTTCAAATGCAATGTGGTCTCAACTCTACACCCTTCAGGCACATAGATAAGAACCACATCAGGAGTGCCCACACCATTCAGTGCCCAAAACAAATCCCCTTGAAAACTAGACATATGTACAGAAACTCTTTTCAATATGTCCTGAGATTTGAGGTCTGACAGGCCACCCACAAACACCCCACTGGGCAACAGCTGAGATGATTGACTTGAATGGTTCACAATGTAACCATCAACAATTGACAAAATGGGAAAATCGGTATCACCAGAAACAGCCAAAGAGCTCAACAATTGAAGGTTTGGGGATTGAATGGGTAGGATTTGAGAGCTCTTCAGGAAAGACGTGTCAGTGAACCTAAAGGGCTCATCTTTCCTAGATGGCCAAGGGGTTGAGAGAAGTGTCTCTGAGGAGGTGTCTTTGAGCTTCTGCAAAAGGGGTGGGGTAGGTGAGGAGGTATAAGTCAGTGAGTCTTCTAGGGTTTCAGCTATTCGTAGAACATGAGGGTCTGAGATGGCTGCAATAGGGGTGAAATTGGGTTTACCCAAAATCCCAATTTTGGCTCTTCTGGGTTGGGTTATTAATCTGGGTACTGTGAGCTTACAGAGAGGAGGGGAAAGAGATACAAAGGTTGAAGCTAATGTGTTTCTGTGCAGGGTTGGAGTCAAAGTGGAAAGCTCCATGGATTGGTTGCCTCTGAGGGAGGAGCTAACAAAGTGGGGATGACTTGTGAATTGTAATCTACTAATCTCCAGTGATCTAGCTGCAAGAAAAACTATTTGTTTTGAGTAAGAAATCAAGAAAAAAGGGTTTTCTGCAAAATGAACTAGGAATTCAGATGAACCAAGTGAATAGAGATCAATGCATAAAAACGTACATATGTGAACATCCAAAAGGATATGCCTATCTGAGGGAACTTACGCTAGGGGGTTTTTAAAAATATTTTCCGCATAGGGTCAGATTCAGGTCTGACCCACTAAGAACTTTGGGCACCTAAGCTTTTAGCAATTCCAGCTGCTAGTGGCTTTTCAAGTTAGGAATGGCAATGGGGGAGTGCAGGGCGGGGCAGGGCACATCCCTGTCCCCGACCCCGAAAACACCCATCCCCGTCATTGATTCAAAAAATATGAAATATGAAGCATCAAAACTAAAAATTGCTCACAGGAATTATATTAAACGTATGGAGGGTATTCGAAATAGCATACTCCCTTTCTCAAATCTGAAGCATAATTTGATTAATTTCATCAAAGCCTATCTTAAGCAAATAAGAAAATTAATGGCCATCCACTCTCCTTTCTGCATTTTCAATCTTACATATCATTTTTAGCATTACCAAACAAGAAGTAACTCCATAAACTCCTCAGAAAATTTAAATAGTGACAATCCTCTAATAGCAAAAATCTCAACATGAAAAAGGAGATATGTTTAAGAAAGAAAGCAGTGACAAGAACAACTATGGAAAAGCAGACTGTGTCTTCCGAGATTTTCTGGTTATTAATTGTAACCGAGGCTCCATTTTGAAGGGTTCTTCCCTTCAAATAAGATTAACTCAATGTGGTAAAGGGAGACAAACCTAAGATGGCTCTGATAATCTGCTATAGTCTATATAGGTGTGGTGAAAGGTTCTGTTCAGGTGACGATGGTATCTGCCATTGTGGAGAAAAGTAGAAACTAAAGAAGTCTTGTGTCTACTATTTTGAAGTTAGGCTAAGAAACTAAAGAAACTAAATGCTAAGAAACAGAGACAACATCAACAGTCAACAACAATAAAACAAAGAACAAACATCACTTGAATCCATCACTGGCAGTACACTGTGAGTAAAGAGAATGGAGTACTGGACTGCTAGAAAATTTGAAAGAAGATAAGAAATCAACAATTCAACATACAATATCAACAATTAAACAAAATTAATTAAATTACAGGGCAAGAAAATAAATATATTTACCTGGCTCTGCTGACTGACGCAGTGGGTCGTCGGCTCTGCGCAGACGAGTGGCGACGTCGAGGAGACTTCTTAAACGCAAATTAAGCTCTACTAACAACCAATGTATTTATATTGAACGCAAATTAAGCTCCCAATGCGATCAATATATTAAACTAACTTCTTCCACATAAAATTGAAGGCTGTAAGTTACCTGTCGGACTCTGTGGATCGAAGTGTGGAGTGACCGGTGACGGTCGCCGGTGGGCGCCACAGCGACAGGCCAGCAGTCAGGCTCTCAGGCGTCCGGTAATAGGTTTTTCGATTTTGCCTTTTGCAATTGGGGATTTCTGCAATTTAAAAAAAAAAAAAAAAAACAAAAACAAAAGGTTTAGCCACAAAAATGAAGTCGTTTCTTGATGGATCATTAATTCATTATTTTATAAATCATGATCCACATAGTTGTGTTAACTACAAAAAATATATTATTTATGTATATGAAGTATATATTATTTGAGTATTAAAAATATATTATTTTGTATACTATTAAATATATATTGTGCATATAAACATTTTTAGTCTATGAAAAATAAATAACTTAGCATTATTTATAAAATGATACTTTTACAATACTAGAGGGCGAAATGAATAACTATATTTTAAACATAAACCATTATACTTATGAATGGTTATCATTATTTTGAGCATAATTTATTCATTATTATAATTTCAACTATTTTTTGATATTTTTAACACTAGATATTGTCCCGTGCGATGCACGGGGTAAATACAATTTTAATAAAAATAAAGTGTTTTTGTACAATAAAAAAGGGAAATATTATTGAAAGAAATACTAAATTACAAATTATTAAAAACATCGTTGTAAACTACATTAGTAGTATAAATACAATTATTTTGTGGTTCACCACAAAATAATATTTTGAAACTATCTGGGTTACTTATTCCTGATGCAGCAACAATGCAACATATAACTAGCTATGACTGACGCAACTAATCTGA